CCCCAAAACCCCAAAACCCCAAAACCCCAAAACCCCAAAACCCCAACAAATGAAATTAATAATGAAATCTTGGAATTTAACACTTAAGGGTTATTTTTCCATTTCAACATCTTTCTTGGCTTCTTCATCGTTGCACTCGATATGAGAGAAGATCATGGATTTTAGGACTTCTGACATAAGCATGTGTGAGTTATCAAGGACCATCTTTGTGGTTCCTTTGTTAATTTTAGCAATCTCATTGTCCTTCTTAGGAGCTTCTCCTCCTCTCTCACCTCTTCCTGTGGTATATCCGACTAACTTATCCCTTCTCATAAGCATTGGATTGTTCTTGTATTTATGAACCTTCTCTGAGATATCTGTGATTGTGTTCGCTACAGCTTCTTTACATAACAACAGACTACTCGTAGAAAGAGTCTGGACCCAATACTGATTCCATAAGAATTCGAATTGGGATTGGTCCAACTCACTCTTAAAGATGCTATGTTCTAATTTGTAGTATCTATTAGCATGAGCTCCGAAATCTTCAATCTTCTCCATTGGCACTGACTCAAATTCAGATCCCTTACCCTTATAATCCTCTGGATAGGTTCTAAAGCATCCAATATCTACTTTTCCTGACGAGATTGTTCTTTTTGGATCAATTACAATAGCAACAAATGGCTCCTGATGTGCTTGATACAAAGATTGGGTTCCTACATCAATTCCTGAGAGCCATGGAGCATATCCAGGATGACTATGGTACCATCCACAGATATTCTCTAATCTTCCTACATCTTCGCATACCTCCATATAGTCTCCAAGATATTCATTTGCTTCTGCTCCTGCGTTGACTCTAGTTTCAGTTCCTTCGACTGGAAGACCGAAGGCATCGAGTACATAAAAGGAAGTCCCAATGACCTTTCCTTGCATGAGGCCCATGACCTCAATGTCGCCTCCTCTTCTACAGTGAGTGACCATCTTGATCAAGGCTGTAACTGAGATCTTTACGTCTTTGAAATAATGTGGATCCTTGAGCCATGGTCTCGTGTCGAACAGCTTGTCATTCTCTTCTTCATTAAATTTGAGGATGTCTCTTTCAGTGACATCATTCTCCATTTCCCAGGTCTTCTTGGCGATCTCCTTCGCTGAGTGCTTGTCTTCCATTAAGATTTTGGTAAAAGTCAATATTTATTTTACTTTTTGGGGTTTTGGGGTTTTGGGGTTTTGGGGTTTTGGGG